GCTTTACATTTTAATAATATAATGCTATTTTCTGAATCACTGTATTTAGGTTTATTTTTCTGAAAAAACAATAATATAACTGTTCAGTTTCTGTTTTTTAATTTAAGTGTTGGTCATTTTGATTTGATTTAATTTCTCCAAACAGCTTTTATTTTGTCTAGACAGACATCCTAAAGCACAAATTTCATAGAGTTTGGTAAAAATATGCTTCTATTTTAGGAGCCAAACATGTCAGGTTGTGTGTCTCAGCTGAGTGACCCTGCAGTGGGGCTGGATCCTGAACTTGTCTGTCCATCTGTCTGTCAGTCTGTCTTCTCACCTCCTGTGTGCTTTACCCTGTGCACACACACACGCACACACACACACACACTTCCATAACACATTTATTCACACAGTGAATGAATTTGCACAAACACAATTCACAATTTCTCTCTCAAACACACATCTCAAGCATGCTCTGCTGTGCGTCACAAAGGCCATCTGCTTGCTATCCAGAGCAGTTTCTACACACACATTTATTTGTGCTACTTGTCACTGACACAATTTAGTGATACTACTGAAGAATTTTCTTGGTCATCAAGAAAAGTGTCTAACAACTTAAAAAAACGCAAATAAAATGTGGATTTTATCTGATAATTTAAAGTGAATGATGGGGAAATAACTGCAAGAAAGGTGGCAGTCGTGAGTACATATTACATTTTCAATCCTTTTTCACATTTAACTCATTCTGTTGGGGTCTATATAAAGTGGAACTGCAATGCTTTATGCTGCATTCCAGTTGTATCAGAATTCGAAATTCTGAAGCCGGACTGACGTCAGTTCCGAGCTGATAGCATTCCAGTTTCAAACATCGGAAAAAGCGTTTCTATTATTTTGCTCTGCAACAATAAAACGTACAATAATTGTGCTCTACGAGGTATTTTGAGTGTACAAACAGTGTTAAAACATACAGTATATTATAACTATCACTATAAAGCACTACAAGTACGTCTGACGTAATGTAAAATAAACAACACAGAAGCCGTGTTTGTTTACATGCAAGACTAGCAACGTTAGCGGTTAGCTCGGACAAGCATGCTAGTACGCTACATACATTAAACAAATACAAAAAGGGAAAATAAACAAATAAATTACACTCGTTTTTATTCTGCCTCCTCTCTTCTTACTTTCTGTCTTTTAAATAATGGAGATGGTGCTTGTGGATGTTTGATTACAGCTCAACATTAGCCGTTAGCTTAGAGAAACATGCGCGCAGCAGGCATGTTGAAATGATGACGTAACGCATGCTCGGGCTGCTCGGGTATGGTTTGGATGCGCCGACATCTCGACTTGAAACTACGACTTCAGGGGGCGTTCCAGTTGAAAAATAGAACTCGGAGGCTCGAAGCTACGACCTCTGAGGAGAACTGGAACGCAGCATTAGTCTGAATTCCTTCTAATTGTAACTCCACAAGGCCCTCTTTCACACATTTTCCAAGCTGTGTCTCAGATCAGCTTGTTTTGAGGCTTCACAACACGCCCCTCTCCAGCTTCGTGACTGGTTTTATTCTAGCTTAATAGAGGGAGTAACGTCTATCTAGCAGTGCAGAATCTTTTTAATTAGAAATTGATAAAAAAAAGGTCAACAACAGAAATCTTGTCCATCCAGCATCACATGTTGGAGCCAGGGTCTGACCCAGAGCCAGAGGAGAATGAAGATGATGAAATTGTAGTTGGTGAGTCCAGACCTCATTTAGAAGTTCTGTCGAAAATAATTGGATATTAAAGTTCAGAAAACGTCATAGAAAATGGAGAAAACTGAATGGAATATGACTCAAAAAGAATATAGATATTTGCGCAGCAGTGGGAGTGACTGAATTTAACTTTTCTGCCCTCCTAGAGACTCCAAGTACACAACTAAGGCTGATATGCATGATATGTCCCCTTTAAATTCAAATGGATAAGTCCATAGCAGTTCACTGAACATCTGACCATTAAGTTGTGATGGCAACAGTCTCACAGTCAACTATGTGTTCTAATTTACCAAAATTTATCAATTAAATATAAATCACTCCTTATAGTATCTACGTATTCATTTGTCTGCAGTACCCTGTATGTGTCCCAAACCAGAGTGAAAGTGATCTAATTAAGAGAGTGTGTCATGACCTGTTAAAACTCAGAGCTGCGTGAAGCTTCCTGTTGCTACGTTTAAACATGGCCTACAGAGCCGGGCTGGCACAAAAATCTATTTTAAGCCACGGGCTCGAAGGGACATTTTACATTCCCGGCTGAACTGTGTCGCAGACTTTGCTCGCACATTTTTTATTTATTTTTTTATTTTTTTGTGAGGGGGGTGCACACGGCTACTTTCACAGTGGCTGTGGCTGAATGAATCTGAGTTACTGTTTTGCATGAGTGTATTTTTTTTCTGGATAAACAAATTGAATCTGTGCGTACCAATCTCAAAGCTCTTAAATGGTCCGCTTAGGTGAACTCCAGCGAAGTTGGTCCTTCACACATGATTTACCATCAGCAGCCCAAAGTTAATTGGGCTGACCCTTGCTAACACACAACAACCCCACTCCCTGACACAGCCTCACCCAGCTACTCATTAATCCTACATTTTCAGGAGCGTCAACTGAATAAACCACCGAGTTAAGGTGAGGTTCTAAACACAAAGGCAAATAATTCAGGAGTTTGGATTAACGTCTTTTAGATGCAGATATTCACGCATGAGAAAAACTGCACTGACTCAACAATCAGTTGTAAAGTGAACAAGTTTTTCTGCTAATTAGAATAGCTAAAGTCAATGCACACACACAGACAGAACGTGATTACTGCACTGCTCCAGCGACAGTCTTAGCAAAAAGCATAAAGCAATGTAATACCACTCCTGAGCTCCAAAAAAGATTCAGTCATTAATCTACAAACTGCTGCCAGAGATCCAGAATCTGAGCAGTTTCCAATTAAGCACTTCAATATGATGCAACAGTTATCTGTCTCTTTGTGTCTATGATACACAATACTAAGTTACAGCACCCTCAGTAATAAAGCTCCAAACACAGCCGCTCTGCAATGACAAATGAAACACCATCTCTGTTATCAGACATCTGAATTTCTGCTCCTCAAAAACACAACAGCTGCTGATCTGTATTGTTTTACATCTGGTGCAAATTGATCTTGTGCATCTCATATTTTACGGTGAATTTAATCTCTCGGACGCCCGTCGTTTTAGACAGAAATTGGGACTGATCACAAATGGCTGTGCTTTAAATAACTCGTGTCAAAGGACAGGATGAGAGGAAAAGAGTGGTATTGAAGGCAGAGTGGACAAACGGCAAACTATAAAATCAAACATGCACAGTATCTTATCACAAAGAGCAAATCAGATTAGGTGCTAGGGGAGACATAAACCGAACAACAAAGTGGAAAGCTGTCCCTCCATGATGATACGTGTTTAAAGTTAAATCTGAACAGTTAAAATTTATCATGAAATGCCAATTTTTCTCATATTATATGTATTCAATCGATTAAAATATCAAAGCAACCAGAACAGCAGTCATCGTCTGGCTTTTATTTTGCCTTAAAAGGAGGAAAACTAAATTTCACATATTAAATCAAAATCCAAACATAACCCTGTTTTTTCCACATCATGTGTCAAAACACAAGTAAAGTTAAATCAATAAAAAAATTAAAGACAAACAAAAACTTTCAAATCTGTGTGTAATTATGATTGCCATTCTGTGGCATTGCAATAATTTTTTAAACTGACACAGTAAACTAAAAGTACATGGTTGGTAAACGGAGGCTTCAACTCTTGGCAGAAAGAAGTAAAAATATTCCCTAGATGTTTTAAAGACACACAAGACACCAAATATCCTACCATCATCCAGAGTGATGTCCTGCAGGCCGATGGAGCGGAAGGTGGGCTCTCTGTCCTCTGGTTCCTGCTTAATATTTGGCCTCTCCCCATCCGAGGGAAAGGGCCCCTGAGGACTTAGTGGATGACCCAGCGGCCCCACTGCCGAAGGAGACAGACTGGTCAGGACCGGACTTGTGGCCTGAGGAGAGGGCTGTCCTGAATGCTGCTGTGGTAGGACCCCCAGAGGGCTGCCACCCGAGGTGGGTGAGGATGAAGTGGGAGACTGGTACGGTAGCGAGTGGAGCTGAGGAGAGGAAGGCCCAGAATGGGGAGAAGGGATCATCTGTGGAGGATGGGTGGTGGACGGTGTGGGACAGGAAGCTGACCTTTGACTCACTGGGTGGTAGCTCAGACCCCTCTGTACCTGTGGGGAGTGCTGCCCAGTCAGGGGTTGCACACCTTGAGAGGGCACATGGCTGGGATTTGGTGAGCAGTGAAAGCCTCCGAGAGCATGGAGGTGTGGGGATGAAGGAGACAGCAGGGGCTGCTGGCTCTGGGGGGATCCAATTATCGTATTGGTGGTTGGAGAGGGAGCTGATGGTGAGGAGCAAGGGGAGGACTGGTAACCCATTCCCAAGCCAACTGGATGTGATGCTGCACTGGGGCTCTGCTGAAAGGGCATCCTGTCATAGCTTTGAAGAGGAAGGCTAGGCTGGCCATTGAAGGACAGGTTATGGCTCGGACCGTGGCTGTGCTGCAAAGGCTGATAGGGGGGCCGGAGGGGAGCGGGAGCAGAGCTCTGGTGGAACGGCATGTGGCAGTCTGCAGGAGGGTGGTGCAAACTGTGGCCCTGAAGGTGAGGCAGGTGTGGGTACAGAGGGGAGCTCAGGGAGGGGCAGGGGCCCGGCCGAGGTAGCAGGTCAGGTCTGGAAACTGTGGTCAGGCTGTGAAGGGAGCTGGACAGAAGGTTGTCTGGTGGGTGGCCCTGCTCAGGAGAAGGCAGCTGAGGGTGTACCAGACCGGCAGCATGTGTTAAGGGCATGGAAATAGGGGGAACAGCAGGAAGGTCCAGCTCGTCTCTCTGCTCCTGTTTTACCATAACTGAGGAAACGAGAGAAGATAGTGGCAGAAACAGAAAGGAGAAAAACATGAGATCAGACAAGAAAGACAATTTTTACAATGCCATCAGTAACGGTTAATCAAATGCTGTCTTTATTTGATTTTAGTACTGAGTGAGCAAAACATCTGACAACAGAGCTGACAAAATTGAACAAAATTCATATTATCAGTTTATAAACATGGAGACGTATTCTATACTTAGCACAAAAAGTACGTGAATTTGTGTTTAGGAGATCATTTCTTTGTTGCAATAATGCTTCTCGGCAATAAATGTTTTACAGGGTACCAGAAGCTCAAAACAAGAGTCAATAACAACAGCAAAATAATAGGGAAGAAAATATCGATACACTGAAATATCGCAATATGTCATTTCCCAATACTGTATCGATATTCTAAAGCCCTGTATCAATTTTTTATTAAGGTTTAAAATGTCAACTTTCCTGCCAGCCATTCCTTTTTATGTTGTAGTTCAGCCTCTGACCACTAGTTGGCAGCAGTGAGCCAGCCATTTGGCTCCTCTACCTCTTGAGCGCCAGAGAGTAAGAGAGCATTAGCATTGTGAGTAAACATTAGCTTCATGCTCCAATAGCTGAATCTGAGCGGAAAAGACCGACACCCTCTGCCTTCTAAGCTGAGGTAAGGTTACAAACAGATACCTTATTTGTCAGAATGTCTGTATTTTAAGACAAATTAAGTGTCTTGTGCGCTCTTTGTTCCAACTGTAGTCAGCTTTCAAGTTACGCATACAGTGCATGCGTCTATCACCTCGAATCACCTCGAGCAAGCTCGGCACTCCCCCCGTGACATAAAACTCTGTCTGTTGCTCTCAATATCCAGCTGATCGCATCAAAGTCCATGTACTTTATCCTGCTGTGTTCGCTTCAAAAACAGTTTAACTCGTTTAGCTTCTCAATTTCTTAACTGGATTTCTTCGGGACCTGTCCTGCTGTTCGACCCACAGTTMTGTAAATCAGGTTCTGGATGCAGGTCAGCTGATCCCAGAAACTCTGTGTGCAGCAGCTTCATTTCATCTGTTTACTGAACTTTATGACAACATAAAGGCTATTGTTAAGAGTTGGGTGACCATAATGTAAATTAATATTAAAAACGAAAAGCTACAAAAAATATATTTTCAAACTATTTATTGGCAAATTTAGTCTAATAATTGAAAACATGGATGAAATATGAAACAAATAAAATAAAACACATACAAAGCAGAACACAGCTAAAGGTATCAAAAGTATGTCTATGTAATATTAGAATTTTCTGAGACAATGAATTTTGGTTTTTCGTTATTTTTTTTATTTTTTTCCAGTAAGAGGTTTTTATTTAATAGAATTTTTGGACCAAAAATATTGCAATATATCGCCTTGTTTACAGTATTGAGATATATCAGGATATATCGTATCGTGACCCCTCTGTCATGATATGTATCGTATCGCCAAATTCTTGCCAATACACAGCCCTACAAAATAAGCTGTTTGGCAGAGAAGATTTAGCAAAATTTTCATTTGCACTCCCACATATTCAGCTCTACTGCTCAGAACACAAATAATGGTTCATTACAAACGTGGCAACATTTAAGAGAGAAATTAACAGGCTTTTTAACAGTTTAAGATTTATTGCCAAGAAGCATTGTAACAAAGAAACAATCTACCAAACACAAATTTCCTTACCTTTTGTGCTAAGTTTATGTATTGATGGTATTCATGGTATTCTAGACAATTTATATGACATTTTACAACTTAATTCTTTCTTCAGCAAACAGACAAGTGTTTCAGTGTGTGAAGGGCTTCAAGTCAACTTTTCTTTTTACACCACAAGTAAATGTCACAGTGGTGCGAGCATTAGAGCAACTGTTTACTAAAGGCTCAGCTCCTTCTGAACCTCAACAGAGGCAGTAAACAAAAAAAAAAAAATATTAGAGACACAAGGCACTAACTGGAAAGAAAAATACAACAATAAAAACATGACAGAAATGAACAAAAATAAAACTGTTTAGAGTTGAGTTGAGTCATGTCACACAATACGTTAAGAGAGGGGAAAAAAGTATTATTTTTGCTTCTCACTCAAGTTAAGAAACTTCAATTAAAATGAAGCTGTTTCATGTTTAAAGACATTGTCACCCCTTTTTGCTTCCTCCAGTCTGTAAAATTACCTCTGAAAGTTCTGCAGTAAAACTAAAAAGCAGGTCTAAACAGCCTTAATGCACCGACAGTCTTTGGAATAGATGTGAAAATATAAGCAAGATTTTTACAGATGAAAAATCCTCTAAAAACAAACTAATATTTTCACTGTAAATGGGGCCATTCCCTTTTACTGTGACAGCTTAGAGCACTTCTGTGCCAATCGGTAACCCATTTCCCAATCTGGTGCCTTGTGACCGTGAGTTTTATTTTTATCCAGCTCTGAATCAGAGGACAGCATATGTTGTCAGTCTGGGTGCCATCATGTGAAATGTGTGGGAAGAGGAGCTAAATGTCCCTCAGCTCAGATCACACTGAAAGAACAAACGAGTTCACAGAATGCACCTGCTACTCACCCTGTTAAACCTTTCAGGACTATAGAGTCAAAAAGCACAATAAGGCAATAAATAAATAAAAATAAATCACTGTTTATTCTGACTGGAAACTGAGCCAAGGCATATGAGGAGTAAAGCGGGTGTGGTGATTTTCTTTTAAATTAAATACAGTTATAAATTATTAAATTCAATGCAGCAATTGCACAAGAAAGTTGAAACAAAAACAAAGATTTTTTTTCCTCAATGTTGCTTTTTCACAATTTTCTCAGAATACATATTTTAAGTGGGACAAAGCCACTGCAGCAGGACCCGTGATGAAAGACTCTCTTTTTCATTTTTTGCCACAATAAAGCAGGTGGTGTCCGTGGTGACATTAGTGGTGTCAGCGACCCAGCTTGACTGACAGAGCAGTGTTATGCTACATCGTTTTGATTGGCTGCACTGATCTGTCAGCGGGGAAAACAGGAACTGCCTGTGCCGAGTGGGCGTGCTTGCAAACAGAAAGGCTGGGTGGGTGGATGGGCAAGGCCGCTCGTACGCACATGCACGAACACACACACACGTTTGTGGTAAAACTCAAGGTTTGGATGTGTTGCACAAAATGCTCACATCTTAAAATATTCCGCCGACTCTGTTTTCACTTTGACTGACTTTCACACAGAGAGAGTGGAAAAAAAACAATAACAATATCAAATAAAGAATAAGGCTGCCTGGCCTGAAAACATCACTGATGCATACTTAAAAATATGGAATTGAATGCCCTGTTTATTTGATGCAATTTTACAAAGCGATTGCAACAAAACCTACTGTATGTCGATATATAGTCAAATTTTCATAGCTATAAAAAAATTTATATCAGAAAACTTCATGCAAATCCAGTCAGGGCATGAAAAAAAAGGGGGATGCCACTGAGGAAGCTTTACAAAATAAACAGTTGGCAGGTGTTAATGTTATTGTTAGTGGAAGGTTCCCCTTCAAACCACAGCAATGTTTTCTTTGGAGAGAAAAGAGGTCAGCGGAGCTCCAGTGGAGACGGGTGCAAAATGATGAGCGCGTTCTCTCTGCTCTCAATCAAATATTTTTTAATTAACTTGGAAGCAGGGATGAATGTTACGACATCTACAGCGGATTTTTAAAACCCTTTTGACACTCTAATATAAACACGAATGGTCTCAAACTCCTTGTTTATATGTACTACCTCTGAACTCACCTGACAGGTAGGTGAAGCGCTGTGATTGGCTCCTTTTGCGTTTGCCATTGCAGACATAGAACTGCACCTGTACAGCTGAGCTCACAGCCTTACTGTGGTAGGGAGGCACCTCCACCACCATGCATGACTAAAAACAAACAAGAAATTACTGACACTTACTTTTTCTCCGTATACATTTCAAACTACCATAACCTAAATAAATAAATAAACAAATGAATGAATGTCAATTTAACACAAGCTTTTATACAGCACACAGTTGCAAACTACACACTATATTTTCCTTTACAATTTGTAGTGTTGTGTATACACTAGAAACCTTTTTAACTAAAAACACTTCAGTTCAAAATAATTTTTTTACAGTAAAATTTTTTTTATAATTTTCTATTTGAACAAGTGAGCAAAATAAATATGTACTAGTATTTACTCACAAGTCCTAATCAATGCTACATAAAGTTTTAATAAACCTCCAACAAAATAATAGTATAAAAAAATTTAGATGAAACACTTTTTTCAAGACTATTTTTATCGTGTATTGTGTAACGTTTCATAAGTAAAACTGCAACACCCAAAACCAACCAACCAAAAAAAAATAAAAATAAAAATAAATAAATGAAGATAAATCTTTAAAAAATAGCTTTGTTACAGAAACATTGTGGTAGAAGAAACTCTACTCACGCCTTGACTTTTCTCCCGAATTATTTTTGCTTCAACTTCCCACTGTGGTCGTCCATCTAGAATAGAGGAAAAGAAAGAGAACAAACAAACCATAAAGGTAAGTGAGTAAACCATTAACAATCACAATATACTCTGGATAAAATCTTTTATTATAAAAACACAGTAAGTCATCCACTTTAATTAAAAAGAGTGCCACTATTAACTCTGTTGAGCTGAATCTAGGTCAGAGATAATCACTAGTGACAACTGCTATTTCATTACAGACCCATATTAAATGTGGTGCAACATTTTAACTAGCTTTTTCTATCTGAAGAGGCTCTTTTTCTTCATTTTTTTTCAGAGTTGCATGAATGCCAAAGGCTCAGAAGCCTCTGATAGATCATTTTACCAGCTATTTATTAGCGATCTATTGTCCAAATATTCTGCTGTTTGTCTTGTCTGGTTAACATTAGGTTGAAAGAAATGGGACTATTAAATTTATTCTAAAACGATTTTTTTAAACAGCTAAACATCTGTTCATTTTTTCCTAAGAGTGATTTAATGATTTGGCCAGACATGTTAGAGACAACAGTTTGAAGAGAAAC